GCTTCAAGCCTTGTTTCCAGTGCCGTCAATGAGGTTCAAGCCACTGAATATTTTTTTCCGGTACTGGGGGTTAAACTCAGGGCTTCACACTCATCTACATTTCCTAGCCCTTTTATACTTTTTATCTCGAGACCATGTTTCACTCTCCAGCTTGTGATCTTGCTGCCACAGTTTCCCCAACTGCTAGGATTGCAGGTGTGCACCGCCACTCCCAGTGGGCGTTCGAATCTCTGACCTGGGCTGCTGCTGAGATAGCTTTTTGGTTGCTCCCAGCAGCCGCTCTGGCCCTTACCCAATCTATTCTCCGTTAATGGGGTCAGCACGATCATCTCCAAAGGAGACCTGACCTGTCATTCCAACACTAGGCTCTTGCTGTGACTCCTTCCCCACAAGAGAAGCCCCATGACTGTTCATGGTTTGGCTCCTGCCTAGCTCCCCGGGATAGGTCGTCTTGCTCCTCTCTCCTATACCCAGATCTTCTTTCAGTCCCTTTTCAGCCACGCACGCTGTCTCTTAGCTCTCGACTCACACAGCTCTGACTTCCCCTGAACCTGAGCAGTTTCTCGTCTTCAACAAAACACATACCTCTAAGCCAGGCCTGATGGTGCAAGCCTTGTAATAGGAGGCTGGTCCTCCTCAGCCTCCAAGTGGCTGCTACTGCAAGACTCGTGATCCTCACAAGCTCAAAGACTAATCTCAAAATGAGAAGTAAGAAGGACTGGGGATGTAGTGAAAGAAAGAAAGAAAGAAAGAGCTGGGCGTGGTGGCACACACCTGCAATCCCAGCACTCAGGAGACTGAGGCAAGAGGATCATTGCAAATTTGAAACCAGCCTGGGCTACAAAGTGAGCACAAGGCCAGCCTGAAATGCATAGCAAGACCCTATATCAAAAAGACAAAAAAAAAAAAAAAAAAAAAAAAACCAAAAAAACAAAGTGAGCTCAAGGCCAGCCTGAATTGCATAGTGAGAACTTGTCTCAGAAAAAAAAAGAAAGAAGGAAAGAAAGAAAGAAAGAAAGAAAGAAAGAAAGAAAGAAAGAAAGAAAGAAACCCCTTGGCAGGAAGATCTAGCAGACTGTAGATGGCCCTTTCTAGTTAGACTGTGTTCTTGTATAGTAATTCCCCATTCTTCTCCCAGGTAACATTTATTTCAGTTCAAATAAAATATTTGCATTCATCTTCTGTTTGTTGAATGATAAGCTCCAGGAATATGAGACTATTATAGATCTCAGAGCATAACAATCTTTTTCTGTGAAGGGCCCAGTAGTAAATATCTCAGGCTTTGTGAACCGTGCTTCTCATCTCTGTTTCTACAATACAAAGACAGCTGTAGACAACAATGAGCGAATGTGCGTGGCTGTGTTTTAATAAAACTTTATTCACAAAAACAGGTGGCTGACCACGTTGGGGGTGAGCAGTACTGTGCCCATCCCAAATGCTATTAATGACCACTGTGCTCAGAGCAGACTCTAAGTGTTTTCCATGTGTCCCATCATATAATGTTTTGAAAGACTTCACAAAGCAGAAATGGCTCACAGCCATCTTTACAGCTGACGGTGAGGCACTGCGGGCACACAAAGCCACTGAGTCAGGCTTGGAACCAGGCAGTCTGGCCCCAGAGCCAACCCTCTTGGTCGCTGAAATGAGTGAAACAGTGAGTATGGGTATGAAAGTCTTCGAAACGTGTGACAGCTTACGGAGTTTGAATGTATCTCTGGAGACAAAAGGACTGTTGTGAGTTACGGTGTCTGGGTGGGATGGGGTGAGGAGTTTGTTGTGGTTGTGCTTTTTTGTGGTGCTGGGAATGGAACACAGGGCCTTGCAAATGCCAGGCGAGAACGCTACCCCTGAGCTACAACCTGGGCCCTTAAATGTTACTGACAAAAAAAAGAAACGAGCATTTTGCATTGAAAGTTCTCCTTTCACTGGAACAGCAATGTAACAAACCCAGGCAGGCACTTTACCACTGAGATATATCCCCAGCCCCCAGTGTAACAAACCAGATACCAGTTATAATCCCCTCGGCGCAAATTCTCACCCACTCCAACTCCGAGTGTCCAAGGCACAGGCAGCACGGGCAAGCACAACTTGCTTATTTCTCCCTTTGGCATGAGCTCTTCTCAAAGCCTGTATCAGAAATGGCAAGCCTGGGAGGTCACCTGGAATTCATTCCCACTCCACAAAGGCATTTTTTGCTGTTTTTCTCTCCCTTTCTACAATCCCTGAGTGCCTCTCTTCTCCTTCTTCTCCTTCTTCTCCTCCTCTTTCTCCTCCTCTTTCTCCTCCTCCTTCTCCTCCTCCTTCTCCTCCTCCTTCTCCTCCTCCTTCTCCTCCTCCTTCTCCTCTTCCTCCTTCTCCTTCTCCTTCTCCTCCTTCTCCTCCTCCTTTTCCTCCTCTTCCTCCTTCGTCTTCTTCTTTTTCTTCTTTTGTTTTTCCAAGACAGGGTCTCGCTATGCAGTTCAGGCTGGTCTTGAGCTCACTTTGTAGCCCAGGCTGGTCTCGAACTCACAATGATCCTTCTGTCTCAGCCTCTCCAGGGCTGGGATTATAGGCCTGCGCTGCCACGTCTGGCTTCTCTTCTTAACTGAGAGGCGGGAGGGTGAGAGGTTAAGGATTATTTGTTTATTTGGGGGACAGAATCTCCCTATATAGTTCAGGCTGGCCTTTAACTCACAATGTAGTCCAGGCTGGTCTTGAACTCGAGGTGATCTTCCTGCCTCAGCCTCCCAAATGCTGGAATTACAGGTGTGCGTTACCACACCTGGCTTTAAAGGAATCTTCTTGAGCCTCAGTTTTTGCATCTATAAAATGGGGATAAGAACAGTGCTAGCGGATATAGCTCAGCAGCACAAGCACCTGCCTCGAAAGTGCAAAGTCCTGAGTTTGATTCCTAGTACCAAAAAAAAAATTTAGGGTTGGGGATATAGCTCAGCGGCACAAGTGCCTGCCTGGCAAGCGTGAGGCCATGAGTTCGGTTCCCGGTACTAAAAAAAATAAATAAATAAAATAAAATATCTGGGACAACGGTTTGATTTAGGGCTGGGGATTTAGCTCAGTGGAACCATGCCTGCCTGGCAAGCCCAAGGTCATGAGATCAATCCGTGGTACCAAAAAAAAAAAAGAAAAGAACAGTGCTAATCACCTAAAATACTGTTCAACAAAATTAAGAGTGTAGGGTGTTCCCATAGTAACTAAGCAGCTAAAAAGTGCCAGTGGTCATTCTCATTTGTCACTCAGACACAGGAAGGCGACATAGGGCTGAAATAGCGCAAGTTGTGGGGGCAGATGAAAGGGGAATTTGAATTCCGTGTCTGCACCTTACTACCTGTGTGACTTTATGACACCACCCCATCCAAGGATTTCCACACCACTTACATTTCCAGAGCATTTGGGGAAGCTGACAAAGAGCTGGCGAGTCCCTGCTCCCCCAAATACCGGAATGAATAATTTTGAAAAAATCTAACATTTACTATCACCATGGTTTTACAAAATGAGGGACCCTGTCCCCTTTCCCCCCGTAGGAAAGATATCTGCCGATAATGCTGCAACAGTATCCTTGATTCTCTTATTTCCTTTGTTTCCAGCGTTTAGAAATTAGTACTCACCCCAAACCCCACTTTTCTCTTCTGCAAAGGTGGAGTAATAACATACAGGGGCACTCGTGCGGGAATCTAGCCTTTGCATAGCAGGGCTGGGCTGTTAGTCCCCTCCCCTGCTCTTCAGGTGACTCTGTTTCTCCTAGCCCTTATCTTTCCCACCCAGTCCTCTACCCCTGTCTTCTGCTCCTCCTGGGAGCTGAGAGAAGAAAGGACCAGAAAGAGCCACTGCAAAGGACTTTATTGGTGTTGACAGGGGGGCACAGGTCACGGTCTGCAGGAGCGGGAGAGTCGGAGAGGGGATACAACTCTCTTCGTCTAGGACGACTGGCTGTAGTGACTCTGCAGAAAGGGCCTGTTATTCATCTTTGAACAGAGCTCTCTCCAGCCAGGCAGGGAGTGGGCCCCAGCTGGAGGCCAAGGTCTGAGGGAGGAGATTTTACTATCTCTGAAACAAAAGGACTTTTGTGTGTTATGATCTCTGGGTGGGATGGGGCAAGGAGTGGGGAAATGGTTTATTGGAATGAGAAGGAGATTGTATGGGAGAAAAAAGAGAGAATCAGAGACTCAGAGATGGAGATGAGAAAAATAGAGGGGGATAGAGTAGACAGGAAGACAAGAGAGACCATTCGGAAAAGACAGAGTGATCCGGAAATTGAGAAGGACAGGCGCAGGAAGAGACAGTGCCCTCAGGTCAGCTTTGGCTTTTGCTTCTCATCCTGTGAGCTCAGAGAGGTGTCCAGAGGCCTGAAGGAGATGTGAGGATCCACCATCTCCTGGGCTGGACCCTGTGGTAGGACCAGGAATACACAGTAAGTGTCAGAGCAGAATATCCACAAGCTAACTGCAGTGTTTTTTAAAACCTTGGCATGGAAATAAGTCCAATTCAGAGAGGGAACCACAAGCCCTCAAAGGCTGCCTGGGTTGGCTGGCACTGGATAAGTGAAGGTGGATTTCAGGCGAAAGATTGTTTAACAAGTGACCTTTGCGGCTAGGCGTGGTGGTACACACATGTAATCCGAGCCCTTGGGAGGCTGAGGCAGGAGGATCATTGCAATTTCGAGACCAGCCTGGGCTACAAAGTGAGCTCAAGGCCAGCCTGAACTGCATAGCGAGATCCTGTCTCAAAAAGACAAGGAAAAAAAGTGACTGTCCTTGGATGGATGGTACTGAATTTTAAGCCGTGAGTCACAAAACCGAGGCACGGGCACTGATCCATGCAGCCCAGACTCTCAGAGAGTCAAGCTAATTAAGGTCTTTCCTAGAGGGTCACACAAAAGAAAGATGGAAGTAAGGAAAGAGGGCAGGCAGGGAAGTCCCTGCCTTCTGACACACACCAGACATATAGGAAAGGGAATAGAAGGAGGAACCACATTGGTGCAGGTAACCTGACTCTTGTCTGAGAAACAAATATTCCTTGATGCTACATTCCAGAAGGGATTCTTAGCGGGCTAAGTCCGGCTAGAGGTGCCCCAGAGTGCTGGGGGGGTTCAGATCCCAGGAACTTATTGGAGTTGAGCCCATGGAAGCACATGTTGTTGTAGCAGCTGCCTCCATAGCTGGGAGGACAGGCGGAGCAAGGCATCCCCATCTTGTAGGGTGCCTCACCCATCCAGTTGCCCCTGGAAGAGAAAAGTCCCAGGGAAGCAGGGTTAGGAGAGAACAAAGTGTGGGATGAGCAGCCTTCATGCGGGTTTATACATCTCAGTGCTGCGGCCCACTGGCTGTGTCACCCAAGGAGAGTCACATCTGTAAGCCTTGACTTCTTCATCTGCAAAAGCATCAGGTGTGCCTGCTCCCTCCACGCAGACACTGTGAATGGGAGACGGAGCTGTGTGTGGACATGCGCTGCACGGCGCCTGGCAAATCCTTCTACTGTTCTCCATTTCCCCTGGAAGAGGCAGATCTGAGCTGGGGTCCTAGGTTCTGGTCCTGGTGACTAGCTAAGCCATCTCCTTTGTTTTTCTTTTCTCTCCCACCCACCCCTAGAACTCAGGATGAAACCCAGGGTCTTGAGTATGCCAGGCAAGTGCTGTTCCGCTGAGCTACACCCCCAACCTGCCACCTGATCTCCTGAAACTTGATTCTATCCTCCGAATAAAATAAATAAATGAAATAGTGTCTGTGAAATGACCTAAAATCCCTTGAACTATGCGCAGAAGAGAGCATGAATCAATCAAGAGGATGAGCCCTTCAAGCCCCGTAGCAGCTGCTGCTGCCACTGTCCTGGGGCTCCATGAGAAGCCAATCTACCTGCTCGGGAATTATCCCTCTCAGAAGATCACTGCCTTTGGGGAAGGAGGGATGAGAGTTATGGCTCCAGGGTTATGGAGTTTCTCTGTGGGCCAATGAAAAGTTTTGAAAATACGGCCACAGTTGCACAACACTGTGATTGCAATTAATGCCAGAAGTGCACACCCAAAGTGGTTATGACGGCATATTTCATTACAATGTAAAAATATTAATAATGTACTATAACCCAACGGTGGGTTGTGTAGCGTGTGAATTATATCTGATTTTGTTGTTTTTGAGACAGGGTCTTGCTGTGTATTTCAGGCTGGCCTTGAACTCACTGTGTAGCAGTCCTCCTGCCTCAGCTTCCTGAGTGCTGGGATTACAGGTGTGTGCCACCACATTGCATGTGAATTATACCTTTATTATTTTTTTAAACTGTACTGAGAATTGAACTCAGGACTTTTACAGTGAACTACATGTCCAGCCCTTTATATATATTTCAAAATTTTGAGTCAGGGTCTCACTAAGTTGCTGAGTTGCCCAGATTGAGCTCCAACTTGCAACCCTCTTGCCTCAGCCTCCCAGAGTGCTGGAATTACAGGCCTGCACGCCATGCCCAGCTTGCAAACTTTTTATGTAAAGGGCTGGATAGTAAATATTTTAGGCTTTGCGGGCCTGATTGTCTCTGTGACTTGAAAGCAGCTGTAGAGAACATGGTAAGGAATGGTGGGGCCATGTTTCAATAAAACTTTATTTAAAAACAAACCACAGGCCACAGTTGACCATGGGCCAGAGTTTGCTGACTGCTCGCTTAGAGAACCCCTTCAACAGCTTTAAGTCAGCCATGTGGCCTGTCCTGGCACTATGTGGGTCCACCTCACTTCTCACCTTCCTCCACTTGCTTCTCCATCTCTGCCCGTGCAGTTTAGTTTTCCCTCTTCCTCAAGGCTTTTGTTCGCAGCTGCTTCAGTCTCACTGCTGGCCTGTGGTATCGTTATCTTTACAAGGCCCGAAGCTTATTTCTCACACCCAGGTGTCTACTCCTTGGGGGCCTGAGTGGAATCCTTTTCCCTCCAAACAAAAACGATTACAGAATAACTTTGTGCAAAGTCAGCCCAAGTTCTCGGAAAAGCGCGCACTTCTTGTTCCCTAAAAGGACGCATTCATTCATCAAACACTTGTATAGCTTGCACAGACACAAGATGTGTGTGAGAGGCCAAGAGCCTACAGTGTTCAAAAGGTGCTGTCAGAAATTTAGGAGTAGGGAGAGGGGACGATGGTGGTACCTGGCGGTGAAATCAAAGTAGTTCTTGCCTTGTTAACTACTTGGGGAGAAAAGGCTTGCTTTTTTAAAAAAGCATTGAAATCAGTGCAATAGGAAGATGTAGTAATGAAAAAGGTCTATTTCCACCCTTGAACATTCAGGGCTCCGTTCATTTAGCACATAATATGGGCAAGATACTATGTAGGCATGTCATCATATCTTAATGCTTAAATTATGTGAAGCAGGTAGTATTAACCCTCACAGAGAAAACAGGCTTGTAGAGACAGATTGATTTACTCAAAGCCCTCGGCATGCCCATGGTAGAGGTTGGCACAAACCTATGTCTGGTATCTTAGTTTCTTTTCTCTCATTGCCAAGACAAAATACCTGACACCTAAAGTTAAAGGAGGAAAGGTTTATTTAGCTCATGCCTTGTAGAGGTTTCAGCCCATAATCAGCTGGCTGCAGGTGGGGTGGCATGGCAGACAGGCATCAGAGAGGAGAAACAGTCCATGGTGGGCAGAAGGTAGCAAAGCAAGTGGGATGACCACAGCTCTTTCTATCCCTTATATTTTATCCAGGCTACTTAGGGTAAGTAGCACTCATACCCTTAATCCTAGTGCCCTTGACCCCAGCATTGCACCATGAATCAATCCCAGCATCACACACTCTAGACCCAGCCTCCTCTGAAAAACTCCTACCTAGGACTTACATGAGGCTTTAGGGGGACAACTAGACACAAGCCATAACATCTGGTAGTCACAATGAGAACCAATAAATGTTCCCCATTTATTATGAGCTCAGGGGGATTACTGAGGTGACCTCACTTAACAGACCCATGAGTACTATTCCATTCCCATTTTTCAGAGAAAAAAACAGGCATCAAGAAGCTAAGTAGAAATCACATTTTTTGTTTGTTTTTTAAGACAGAGTCTCGCTGTGTAGTTTAAGCTGGTCTTAAACTCTCTATGTAGCCTAAGCTGGCCTTCAACTGTCACCATCCTCCTGCCTCAGCCTCCCACGTGCTGGGATTACAGGTGTGCACCATCAGACCTGACAAAAATCACATACTGTATTTAAACACTGACAGTCTTAACTTCAGGGCCTACAAATCTGAACAACGATATTGTTTATACTCAGTACTTCACAGATGTGCTATATCAACAGCACACATTAGAATGGGCCCTTAAGCTACTTAGCTTCTTTTTCGTTTTGTTGTGTGCATTTTTTATTAGTGCATACTGGTCATACAGATCAATGGTTTCACCATGACAGATTTGCAGGTGCACACACCATATTTTAATCAATGGGTCAATATTTGCCCATGACCCCTTCTATCCCCCAATTTCATATTTTTTGAGGGTTTCAACATGTATAATGTATTTCATTTGTATTGATGCCACTATTTCCTTTCTGTTCCCTCTTTCCTTAAGCTACTTGTAATAGAATTTGGCTTCTTATATTTTTCTAGTTTTGATAAAGCTGGGCTGTACTATGGCACTTTGTCAGTTGATGACACCATCTGATAAATAACATATATCTTAGATTTATGTTAGCTGCTGGCTACCAGTGACTTCAAGAACCTCAGGATAGTGTTACCAGAATGAAAATGGCAATTGTGCTCTAAAGACTTGTATTTCAAACAGCCCTCCTCCTTATTGGCTTTGTGACTTTTTGTAAATTACTTAACATGTGTGAGGTTCTATTTCTTAACCTGTAAAAAGGGTCAATATTTTCCCAAGGTCTCTTCCCCACCCCTTTTTGTTGTTGTTGTTGTTGTTGTTGGGTTTGTTTGTTTGTTTGTTTTTTGAGGCAGGTTCTTGCTATATATTCCAGGATGGCCATGAACTCACAGTGATCCTCCTGCCTCAGCCTCCCAAATGCTGGGATTATAGGTGTGTGCCACCACACCCTGCTCTTTCCCTTTTTCTTTACTTCTTTCATTTCTTCAGAGGTAATAAAGTGAAAGTATTTTGTAAATGATGAAGGGCTGTGTGAGAGTAAAATGTGGTTATTACTGTATGACTGAAATTCTAAACTTCATGCTGACTTAGAAATGGTTCTTATTTTGTATGAGAATCTGTAATGTTCACAAATTCATAGATTACCTTGGACTGGAACTTCCACACTCCTCTCTCCCAGGTTTCCAAGGGACTTGTAAGAAGAACACACCTGACCCTTCTCTCATCAAGCTGATTGGCTAGTTTGGGAGGAGGAGCTGAGTATGTTTAGTCTACCCCTCTAGTCTGGGCTCTCCTTGCCTGTGGGAACCAGGTATTCTTGGTTGAATGACTGAAGGCTTTTATCAATAGTGGGGAATTGAACTCAGGACCTTTGCACTGAGTTACATCCCAACGCTTTTATTTATTAATTTATTGTCTTTTTGAGACAGGGTCTCACTATGCAGTTCAAGCTGGCCTTGAGCTTACTTTGTAGCCCAGGCTGGTCTCGCATTCACAGAGATCCTCCTACCTCAGCCTCCCGAGTGCTGGGATTACAGGCATGCGCCTCCATACCCAGCCCAACCCTTCTTTTTAGTTTGTGTTATGGTTTGTGTCTTCATGTCCCCCCAAACCCTCATGCAATCACGGGGCAGGCTTCTAGATTTATGATTGATTTATGCTCTAATGGTGGGATTACAGGTGTGAGTGCTACCTCCGCCCTGGGGCAGATAGTTTGCATATGTAAGGGAGAGAAAGAGGCTGCTTTTGCTGTCTTCCACCACCATGCACTGTTGCCCTCTGCCATGTGCCATCCTGCCTTGGAGCCAGCCGACTGAAACCTCCACAGACTGTGGGCTAAATAAACCTTTCCTTCCTGATGTGGGCATCAGGTATTTTGTCTCAGCAATGACAGAAAAGTAACCAAGGCAGTTTTTTGTTTGTTTGCTTGTTTTTTGAGACAGGGTTTCACTAAATCACTAAATTGCCCAGGCTGGCCTTGAATTTATGATCCTCCTGGCTCAGCTTTCCAGAGTGCTGGGATTACAGGTGTGTACCACCACACCCAGCTTGGTTATCTATTTCCTGGGCTGCACCCAGAGGGGCCGGCCCTGCACTCGTGCGAAGATGCCTGTTTGTCCAATGCTGCCTGGCACCAAGGCGCAGGTCTAATTCAATTGTGAGGCATTTGCAAGCCCTCTTGGCCAGAAGGGCCAGCTAAGCTACCTTCTATGCGCTCCACTTCCTCAGTGAAGCCGCTTCCGGCCCGCCTCACTGCTCTTTCTCCCAACTCACGCTGACCTTGGGTAAAGAAAAAAGACTATTAATCGACTCCCTAAAGTTACCCAAATCTTATGCTACTGAGGTTACTCAGCAGGAAGAAGAAGGCGTATTGTGTGTGTCTTTCTTTCCCTGAACTCGCACGAGCCCCTTCCTGCCCCAGCCTCCTCCGCCCCGGCCGGCCAGGCACTTACTTCATGGCGTAGTTGCACACCAGGTACACCGCCTGGTACCAGGTGTTGCCCCACACATTGATGCTGTCGCAGGTGTGGATGGCACAGCCCAGCCGGTTGGAGGAGGCCCACACCATCTGAGGAGGCACAGACACAAGGCCGGCTGAGAAGGGGCAGGCGGAAGGGCCTGGGGCCTGGGGCCTGGGGTCCTGTGGCCCCTCAGCTCGGTTGCAGGAGGGTGTGTTAGGTGAGGTCTTGGGGTGCAGCAGTCTGTCTGAGTGAGAGTCATTTATGTTGTGACACAATGTTTCTCAGATTTGTTTCTAACTGCAGGCAACAACGAGGCATAAATAAATTTCATATTGTTACCCAGTGCCCACAGGCACGCATACACGCACCCATACAACCGGAACAAAAGTTTTATAAACTGGGGCTGGTAGATGTTTCGCAGTGGTACAGCCTGTGCTTAGCACGTGTGAGGCCCTGAGTTTCATCCCCAGAACCACACACACAAAAAGTTTTATGAACCAAACTGGGCATGGCGGTGTAAGCCTGTAATCCTAGCCCTCAGGAAGCTGAGGCAGGAAGATTTCCGTGAATCCTCAAAAAGCTGAAGCAGGAGGAGCTCTGTAAATGTAAGGCCAGCCTGGACTACACAGTGGGACTCTGTCTCAAAAAACAAAACAAAAGTTTTATGAATCAATATTTAGCCACACCATGAGTGATATATGCTAATATTTTCTGTACTGTTTTATTTCTTTTTTTCCCCCCTTTTCCTAGTGACCAGCTTCCCAAAATCCTTCTGGCATCAGAACAAACTTTGGAGTCAGACTTGAGCCAGCATCTCAGTGTCACCTGCTGTATGACTTTGTCTTTTATCCGACCTGTGTCTTCATTAGTACAGTGGAGGTAATAATGTATTGTGGGAGGTTAGGAAGGATCCTTGGCTTTGGTATCACATTTTATACAGGATCACAAATGTATATTTCTGAAGTTATTTCCAAATGAGTCAGAGAGAGGCAGACTGGGTGGAAAGAAGACATTTATCCTACAATGGGAAGCTCCTGTCCATAGCTTCACTAAGTTGCCCAGGCTGCCTTTGCATATGCAATCCTCCTGCAGTCCTACTGCTGTCTCTGCCTTGCAGTGGTAGACTGCATCATATTTTTATGCATAGTAAGTATTAACATACACAATATTAGCACTCAAAATGTGCTATAATTTTTGTAATGTTATAAAATATTATTTTGGCATTTCCCCCCCTAAGATAGTGGAAGCCTTAGAAAGCAGAAAATAACCAAGGTGAATAAAATAGGCTGGGTGTGGTAGTGCACGCCTGTAATCCCAGCACTCGAGAGGCTGAGGCTGGAGGATCGCTGTGTGTTCAAGACCAGCCTGGGCTACTCTGGGCTACAAAGTGAGCTCAAGGCCAGCCTGAACTGCATAGTGAGACCCTGTCTCAAAAAGACAAAAAAAAAAAAAAAAAAAAAAAAAAAAAAAAAAAAAAAAAGATGAATAGAATAAGATGAGATCCACCTCAATTCAGTATGCACATACCTTTCCAGGAATATGCTTCTTACACAAAAGGAAGCCCATAGTTTCTCTGCTTTAATTCTCATGTCCGTTCCACTTTATTCTTTTTCCTAGTTTGAACGTGGTTTTTGTTTTTTGTTTTTGTTATTTGAGATAGGGTTTTGCTATGCAGTTCAGGCTGACCTTGAATTCACTATGTAGCCCAGGCTGACCTTGAACTCACGGCAATCCTCCTGCCTCAGCCTCCCAAGTGCTAGGATTAGAGGTGTGCATCACCATGCCTGTCTAGTGTGTTTTTTGTTGTGACTGTTGCTCATTTGTTTGTTTTGAGACAGAGCCTCACTAAGTTGCCCAGGCTGGCTTTGAATGTGCAATCCTCCTGCCTCAGCTTCCTGAGTACTGAAATTTCAGGTGTGCAACACCATGCCTATCCTCCTTCTTCCCCTTCTGAAGTGCCAGGGATTGTTCTGCAGGCTCCTGGGCCCTAGCGGAGGAGTACCTGGGTGTAGTGGGTGCAGACAGGACCACTGCAGTACCAGGGGCAGCGCGGGGTGCAATCACCTGGGGCTGGAAACGAGTAATCCCACCTCTCATTGGCCCAAAGCTTCACAAGATCCAAGATGGAGGTGTACCTGGAGGGGTCAGGAACATGGGAGAAGCTGAGGGGGTGGAAAAGCAGCTCTGCGACCAACCACCACCAGCCTTGCTCAGTGACCTGGGGTGAGTTACTTCGCTTCTCCTCCTTGGAGATCCTCATTGATAAAACGAGGATGAGGACAGCAGCACTCACCTCGCAGGTGTGTTCTGAAGGCCAGGAGACCGCCGTGTACAGAGCTCACCCATGCCTGGCACAGAGCAAGTGCTCAGTAAAGTATGTGTGCAGGTCAAGGAGCCTGGTGGTTGGACCTGAGGGTTTTTTTTCTTTTAAATAGCCACATTGACAGAGGCACAAATACTCAAAAGGCCGATCAGGGGGTGACAGCTGGGAGAGCTCACACTTGCAGTTCACAGCTTGGAAATCCCAGCTTTCACCCTGCTGCTGTTCTGTGTTCACTGGGAGCCTCCCCAGGGCTGGCCGTGGCCTGGCCGAGCAAGGACACTGGACCAGCGATTGAGGGGGCGGGAGGAGCGTTGGAGGCTCCCAAGGGCTGACCCTGGCCCCGCCAGTCAGCGACGGCTGGAACCCTGATCTGGGGCCCCGGTGTCCTCCGGCCTTGTCCCTGCCTCTCCCACTCTGCTGAGGTCCAGGCAGAACACGGAGGGTGTGGCTCTAATGTCCTTATTTGGCAAAATAAAAATATGTCCATGGCGTGGCTGTCTTGTAAATGCCTTTTGGCAGCTTCACTGGCCTATGAAATCCGCAGGCCGGGAGAGAGCTGAGCTGGGCCACGAAGGTCCAGAACATGGCAGTGCCGTCCCCAGGCCACGCGGAGCCAACTCAGGACCCCGCCTTCCGACTCCAGAGAAGCAATGGAGCAGAGAGGCGCGGCAGAAAGCCGGGCTCGCCGTTCTCGGCCTCAGAGTGAGCACCCTTGGGTTCCATGCGCCCATCCACCATCCTCTACTCCCAACTTTGCTTCCCATGGGTCCCACCCGCCCCGCCTGTGAGCCTTCACGTCACCCCTCACTCTCCAAGCAGTCTGGGTGTGCGTTGGTTCACCCTGTTGTCACCCGTCCCTCCTAACTAGAATAGGCTCCTGCAGACAGGGAGCTTGCCCACTTTGTCCACCACTGTGTTTCACTGCCAAACACAGCACCCAGATCAGAGTAGCGCTCGATGTGTGTTTGCTGAATGACTGAGTGAAGGAAGGGCTGAGTTTGACTCACCGGCCAGAAAGGACAGAGAGGTTCTGACCCACGAATCTCATCAGGTGTGAGGGCCCGTGGTCCCAGATGCATTGGCCGGCCCAGGCCTCAGCGGTCTTGGCTAGCAACTCGTCCCAGACCTGGGGAAAGAAAGGCCGAGCCCTTCCTGGGAGGAGGAAGGGACACGCCTGTGTCTAGCATCCTCCTTAACTCTTCAGCAAGCTCACTGGTGGGTTAGAAAACAGGGCTCACGCAAGGCATGTGGTTCAAGATCTAGCACAAGCACACCCCCAAGCTGAGCCCCACCCCTCCTTCCCTCTCTGGACCTCGTGCTTGAGGCCCTTGGCTGTGAGTGGGATCCCAGGTATTTGTACAGAGTTCTCAGCAGTCCCTGGAAGTGACCTCCCCCAGGTGATATGAGATGACTGATTTAGAAATATTTATTTGTTGTATTTTCAAAATGGGTTTATGTAAGCATCAAGAATTTTGACAGGCATGGTGGCACATGCTTGTAATCCCAGCACTCGGGAGGCTGAGGCAGGAGGATCCTTGCAAGTTCAAGAACAGCCTGGGCCACAAAGTGAGCTCAAGGCCAGCCTGAACTGCAGAGCGAGACCCTGTCTCAAAAAAAGACAAAAAAAAAAAAAAAAAAAAACCAAACAATAATTTTAATTGTGCCAGGCATGGTGACTCATACTTGTTATCCAAGCACAAAGGAGGCTGAGGCAGGAGGATCGCCAAGAGTTCAAGACCAGCCTGGCTACATAGTGAAATCAAAGCCAGCCCAAGCCACATAGCAGGAGTGTCTCAAAGAAAAAAAATTTTAATTAAAAAATTTTTTTTCAAAATGAAAGCACACCAATTTAATATGTATGATATGATATCCCAGGGAGGACAAGTGGACAGTCTCTCCTCCCGAGCACCGTCCCCACAGCTGCTCCGTAACCTCCCCCAGGGACAATCGCCAGGCTTCCTTTGTTCACTTGCAGAAGTGTGGACACCTGCACAAGCTGATACGTAGGGACGCAGACATTCTGACGGGACAGGAGCGTGCCCGGAACTCTGCACCTAACTCTCCTCACTCAACAAGATGGGCTGTCTCAGCGATTATCCCGCACAGCAACTGTAAAATACACTCCTCAGTTTTCTTCCCAGCTTTATCTTTGATCAATATACGAATTCCACAAGTTTCACAGCTGGAAAAAATGTCACCTAAAAAAAAAAATACTAGCTCATTTCCCACACTGGGATCCTCTGAGATATTATTTGTTCATTCAGCAAATATTGAACCATATTTCTGGGTGACGAGATGTCAAACAAGCCATGAATCATTGCCTTCCTGGGCCCAGGCTTTCTTGGAAGTGAGGGGTGCTGGGTCAGATGCCTGTTCCACGAGCAGGAGTCAATTAGTGAGGGAGAAAAGGGGTGCTGAGAGGGGCCCGAACATCCCCCAGGCTTGTGTAACTCCCAGCCTTTTAAAGAGAGCAAAGCAAGGGGGTCAACTGAGGGAAGGGGCCTCCCTGGCCCCTGGGGAGACAGCTTCCTGTCTCTGTTAGGCGCCACATGCAATCGTTAAACGCTGTTTGCCACACCAGTGGCACTCAGCAAATGTGTCATTTGTTTGAAAAATGGGGGGCCTTCTATGCGCCAGTCCCTGTGTTAGTAAATGAGTCAGTCAATGAACAAATAAGTGGCTCGCCCACCTCTAGCTGCCCACCGTCCTGGCTCCTCTCCCTGCTCTTCCCCAACTATTAGCTCCCAGCATTATATCTGAAAGACACACACACGCGCACACACACACGCACACACACGGACCCACAGTTTTTACAATTTTCTCTCATCTGCCTTGAATGAACACACTTTGGGGAAGGCCATGGCCCAGTGTTCTTGGCAATACCCCGGGGGGGGGGGGCCCAGGGCTGGGCTGGGAGCAGGATCTGGACTGGCAATCTCATTCTTGAAAGAAATCCTCACAGGGCTGGGCATGGTGGTGCACACCTGTAATCCCAGCACTTGGGAGGCTGAGGCAGGAGGATCGTTGCGAGTTCGAGACCAGCCTGGGCTACAAAAGGAGCTCAAGACCAGCCTGAGCTGCCTAGTGAGACCCTGTCTCAAAAAGACAGGGGGAAAAAAAAAAAAAAAAAAGAAATCCTTGCAGGCTGGAAGCCTATCTCTCCAGGCTGGTTTAGGACTATTGTCCCCAAACGGAAGGGGCTACGATAAAGAGCAAGATTCCCTCTTCCTCGCCAGGGGTCTGGCTTCTGGATGGCCAAGGTGAGAGACGCCGGCCCTACCGCTTTGAAGGCAGAAATCCCAGCTCTTCCACTGCACTCCTCAGCCCAAAAGCCCAGGTGCCTGCCCTGTTGCAGACCTTCCTCTCAGCAGCTCCCGGGAATGAATGGCGGGGGGTGTGTCCGCTAAATCCCTGGGCCAAGGGACAATAGCATGAAAAGCTCTAGCCATGTACCCCCTGCGGTTCCCCAGTTGGAGCCAGAATTCTTGGGCTGCGTATTGTGTTGGTTAAAGTCAAAACTTTCCCTGTGGACAATCTGGCCTGGAATCCTGGCCAGGTGGCCTTGGGCAAATTGATTCTCTGGACTCATTTTCAAATTTAGAAAGTGGAGATGAAATGTCCTCTTAAAGGAAAAAGTTTACGTGGAATCCCTGGCACCAAAAGAGCTCCATAGTATGCATATGGCCAAATCCACTAGGGAATCTGTGCGTTAGCCTCAGTTTCCTAGCTTGGGAAACGGGCACACAAATTCCTGCCCTCTTCATGGGTCCCTCAGACTAGCTAGGTGGGTGAACTGGCTCTTTCAAGCCAGTCGCTGCAGCCCATAGTGAGTGGGCTGGTGTTTGCTGGAAGAGACCCTGGGATGGGCATGGGGACTTACCATGTACTCCATGTTGGCAGCAGGTGGGTACACGTTGGCCCGAATGTGGTTGTGATAATCCAATAAGGCCATGATGTCCCACGCAGTGATGTGGCGCTTCCTGTGGTACCGGGGCACCCCTAGGCCCCTCAGAGGCCGCACAGCTGTGCCCTCCCGCCGGGCCAGGACCACGCTGGCATTGGGCATCATCAAGGCATCCACTGTCTGGCCTGCCCAGAGGATCAGACCTGCCAGGCCCACGGTGCTGGACAGCAGGAGCATAGCTAGCTGGGGGTCACAATCTGCCCGGTACAGTCAGAGCCGGCTGCCTGGAAGGGGCGAATGAGAGAGCACCAATCCCTGAGTGTCCTCCTCGGGCAATGCCAGCCCAGAGGATGCCCCCTGGGGACTTGGCAAAGCTCCTGACCCAGCTGTGGTCTGGGTACCAGTACCCCTTCCTCCCCACCCAGCGGATTCAGTGGGTTGGGCCACGAGAAGAAATGCCCAGACAGTGGTTAATCCAGCCCAGGCCCTGGGGTGCAGCGCTGCCACCACTTCAAAGCCAGGCCCTGTCCCACCCGCCAGGAGGGCAGCGGATCTCTGCAGCAAGACGTCCTCCCCCTCAGCCTGCACGGCGGGCACAGGGGGCACCCGCAGCACACTGCAGGCCGTCGGTTCCACAGGGCTACAACTTCAGCATCCGGACTGAGGTGCAGAACCAGGGGGCTGAGGGTGAGGGAGACAAAGAAAAGGACACTTGAGAAATAGAAAAAGAAAACAAGAGGAGCCCAAAGGTTGACAGAAGAAAAAGACACAGAGAAAAAGAATGAAAGAGAATTAGGAAGAGGGGGAAGAATGAATGATGGGGAGAGACAAAGATAACACAGGAGCAGGGAGAGAGAGAGAGAGACAGAGACAAAGATAGAGACGGGAGAAAAGACATAACAGAAGAGAAAGAATGAAGGCAGAGAGGCCCGGGGAGACCAGGCAGCAGGCTCCCCAAGGGTTTGTACCCAGCATGGGCACCACTGGCGGGTGGCAAGAGGTGGCAGGAGGCAGAGGGCCTCTGCAGACACCCTGGCTGCGACTGGGCAGCGACTGAAACAGCCCCCTGGGAGCTGATGGCATCTGACCGCCCCAACCCACAGCCCCCTCCCCTCCTAGCAGAACCACACTTGGACTGGGAGAGATACTCCGTGTGCTGATTTACGGGCTTTTTTCTCTCACCTTCCTTCATCCCCGCTATTCCAGCTGCCACTTGTGTGCAGGGCTGAGGCTGAGCAGGTTAGGGCAAGAACCCCAAGAGCAAAGACCCACCCCATGAGGATACCCCGATCTGGAGACTTCTCCTTGCCTTCCAGACCCAGATATGTTAAGGCCAGCTGGCATCAGGAGATTATTTTCTTTTATCTTTTTCCTTTTTTGAGACAAGGGCTCACTCTATAGTTCAGGCTGTCCTTGAACTCACAATCCTCCTGCCTCAACCTCCTGAGTGCTGGGATTACAGGTGTGGGCTACCACATTAAGCCAAGAAGAGTACTTACGGACTGACAACCCTTCAAAGTCCTCCGGCCCCAGAGTGAGCAATCAAAAGGCCCCAGCTAAAGAGAACCTACTGCCGGGCATGGTGGCGCATGCCTGTAATCCCAGCACTCGGGAGGCTGAGGCAGGAGGATCATTTCGAGTTTGATGCCAAGCTGGGCTACAAAGTGAGCTCAAGGACAGCCTGAACTGCATAGAGAGACTCTGTATCAAAAAAGAAAAATAAAATAATAATAAAAATAAAGAGTACCTACTGTGTGCTGGGTCCAGGGCTGAGAGCTGTGCACACACAAGCTCAGCCAGTCCTTACAGCAGGTATTGTAACCCCTTATTTTACAGACAAAACAATGGAGCTCCAGAGAGGTAAAAGAACCAACCCAGGGTCCAGGGCGTCTAGGGTCTTGTTAGCGTGGAAATAGGATGCTATCCTCATAGCCAAACCAAATGTAAACACACAGCCAAGTGTGGTGGTGCACACCTGTACTCCCAGTACTCAGGAGGCTGAGGCAGGAGGATGGTTGCAAGTCTGAGGCCAGCATGGAATATACAGTGAGTTCAAGGCCAGCCTGGACTATATAGTGAAACCCCGTCTCAAAAAATGAAACAAAACAAAAACAAATATAGACTCGTGGGGAGAGTCTAGGACATGCATTACAATGCTATTCAAACACAGCTCCTCAAGCCACAGTGCATGAAGCCGATGGATCTGGGTTCAAATCCCACTTATTCCACTTTCTGACTGTGGACCCTAGAGCAATGGCTACTGCAAAATGGAAGAAGTAATGGTACCAATCTCCTTCCTTTGCTGTGAAATTAAACGAATTAGCATTGGTGGAGTTAAGGGCAGCGGCTGGCACACGGTTTGTCCTCTGTGTGTGCCCTTGTGTGACTGTGTCTGTCCTTGTGCACTGTTGTATGCCCACATGCTTATATGCACGTGAGTGCATAGGTGTTATATATGTGTGTCCAGGTACATGTATGAAAATGCAAGTGTCTATACGTATGTGTGTATGTGTGTGTGACTAAAACCTCATTGGTCTCAGAGTTGCCAAAATTACAGGTTTAGCTGGGCGTGGTGGCGCATGCCTGTAATTCCAGCACTCTGGAGGCTGAGGCAGGAGGATCTTTGCGAGTTTGAGACCAGTCTGGGCTACAAAGTGAGCTCAAGGCCAGCTTGAACTGCATAGGAGACCCTGCCTCAAAAAGCAAAACAACAACAACAACAATAAATACCACAAAGTTACAGGTTTAGAGAGATTACCCCACCTGCCCTGTGGTCTGGGGATGGAGCCTGGGGCCTCCGCATGCTAGGCAAGCACTCTGCCCCTGAGCTACATCTGCAAGTCCTCTCCTCTTTAATTGCTTGGATTCTCCACAAATGACAAATGTTCCTTTTTTATTGTAGGAAAGGCACACTGGCAAGAAAAGCATTGTGTGAAAAACAAGGAAGCATTTGCCATCCTCACCCTTCGCTTCCAGCGGCCTCTGAGAATCCCCAGGCTCAACAGGGCAGCAAGCCAAGTCTGGCCCAGCTGGCCAGGCAGGGCTGCAGGCCACAGGCCCCTTCCGCCGGGTCCTTCCCAGACACATGGAATTCCTGCCTCAGGCAGCAGCCTAGCTTCTGCCTCTGGGCCAGACAGTGTGGCCAGCCAAAGCATAGGATTTCCCCTGCAGCAGTGTCCTCGGCCTGCCACGGGCTACCCTGGTCAAGGCGCTGGTGGGCGGGTGGGCCGAGCAGCCCTTGACCTCTGCAAAGCTTCCCCACCATCCAGGAAGACAAACAAGACTGGCCAGGCACACCTCACGTCCCCCTCCAGGGTGCTGGGTGTCCTGGGCAGGTCCCACACCTCCCTGGGCCTTGGACACCCACTGCAGAAAATGACCAAGGCTGTTCTGACCACAGCCCTGGGGTCCTTGGCACACCGGGCTGTGTTCTGCAGCCCCAGGGAGGCAGACGCAGACAGCCTTGGCACTCAGGGACTCAAGAGTGCCAAGTTATGCCCACGTCTCTTAAAATGCCTAATGTGAACCCCTCCCATGCAACTGCAGAGCGCTGGTTCAGGACCTCACACCCAAGATTCGCTCGTCCTCCCAGCTGCCTTTGAGGTGTAGAGCATCCTCTATAGATGAACATGCCAAGGCCCTCCTGAACCCTGGTTTGTGCCAGGGTGTGGAGCTAGTGTGGGTGGTAACGGGTCCCTGCACGTAAGCAGATGCATGCACATCTGCCGTACATTGCACTGCCCCCACACTTAATGCAATGTGATAAAAAAATATGGTGGAATGTTTAATTTTAAAAATGCTTAGCCAGGAGTAGTGGCGCAGGCCTGTAATCCCAGCACTCGGGAGGCTGAGGCAGGAGGATTGTTGCAAGTTCGAGACCAGCCTGGGCTACAAAGTGAGCTCAAGTCCAGCCTGAACTGCATAGTGAGACTCTGTCTCAAAAAGACAGAAAAAATGCTTAAATTTAAAAAATTTTTTTTACAGTAGCCAGGTGTGGCATACACCTGTAACCATAGAATTGGAAGGCTGAGGCAGGAGGACTGCCAAGAGCTCCAGGCCAGCCTGGGCTATGTAGTGAGTCGAAGGCCAGCCAGGATTGCACAGGGAGTCCCTGTTTCAAAAAAAAAAATATTACAGTAAAAGACACATTGCCATTAATCTCCGTGAAAATATTCCCCTTGACTTCAAATTCACATCCTTGCCACTTTCTGAAGGCGCTCTGGAAGTGAACATCCTTAGTTGTGCTGTCTGGTTCCCTCGATGTCCTGAGTCAGTTCAAAACATTCATCTTTCACAGTCATTTTGACTTTTTTTGTTTCTGGAGACAGGGTCTCACTCTGCAGCTCAGGCTGGCTTCGAGCTCACTATGTAGCCCAGGCTGGTCTCAAACATATAGTGACCCTCTTGCCTCTCAGACTCCTGAGTGCTGGGATTACAGGTGTGCACCACCACGCCAGGCAGGAGTCAGTATGTTTTATTTTATTTATTTATTTATTTATTTATTGGTACCAGGAATTGAACTCAGAACCTTGTACTTGCCAGGCAGCCTCTGTACCACTGAGCTACATTCCCAGCCAGAGTCAGTATATTTTAGAGACACTTGACACAATGCCTGGCACAAAGCAAGCAGTCGATAAAGCAGTCGGTACATAATCCTAGCTAATGATAATAAGAGCAGCAATAATAGTCAGCATCTGTCTGGTACATGTGAGACACCAGATTCTAAATGCTTTCCACACGTGGTCTCATTGCAGCCAGCCACTTCCCAATTTCATGCACTAGCTACTGGGACCCTCATTGTATAGACGCAGAAGTGAAAGCTCAAAGAGGTGAGGTAACTTGCCAAGTTCACAGAGCTAAATCCAATGGAAACTGGATTCCACCCCAGAGCTCTCCGACTTGTACCCAGAGTTCTTTTCCTTCAGTGAAGAGACTGTTCCTGGATATGGTGGCTCACGCCCGTGATCCCAGCACTCGGGAGGCTGAGGCAGGAGGATCACTGTGAGTTTGAAGGCAGCTTGGACTACATAGTGAGAACTTGTCTTGAAAGCAAACAACTCCCTCCAAAAAAAAAAAAAAAACAAACTAAACTAAAAAGAGAGAAACTGTGAGAGACAGTGGAGCAGGAGCCTAGTGCTTGAAAGGGGAGACTGAGTAAACTAGAAGATCCTCAGAGATCACCTGGGTTGCCCTCTCATTTGCCAGGTGAGGAAAGATGTCCAGAAAGGTTAAGTAATTTGTCCAAGATCACCCAGGAAGTAGCAGACTTGGGACTGCAACCTAGATCTATGTAGAAATCACACGAGGGTGGAGACTCCGTAAAACTCTTCAGGCCAAAAGCCCTGCAAAAGATAAACCATCAGGAAACAGGAGGGCTGGAGGGGCAGCCGCTAGAAACTCAGAAGGCCTGGGCTTTTATATGGGCAAGGGCACCCGCTCCTGTCTACGGATGTGCACTCGAGCCGTGAGCCTAGAAAGAAACACGAACACATGCGGTAAAAACCAGGCTGGGGCGGGGCGGGAGCCGGCGGGGCCCTCACCTCTTGCTCTGGCTCCTGGCTACAAGTGGTTCACCTCACCATAACCTCCTAGGGACCATGTTTGCTTTATGCGATTTCTACATTTGTGTATAATTTTCCAATAAAAAGTCTTAAAATATAACAGTGGTGATTTATACAGTGACATCTCCCAACTTTACTGCCTTCACTATGCACAGGAATTTTAATTTTCTTTTAACAGCTGAGGACACGGCTTCAAAGAAG